TACATGCCTGTGGTGGCCGGTGCACTTAGCAAGTGCACCGGCCTAAGTTTGTTAACACGTACACGAATCATCTTGTGTGTGTGTGAGAGCCCCAGTCATCAGCATTCCAAATATGATACCATGGCCGTGGTAGCACGTTTATGGACAGAGATAGAGCGAACAGCATCTTTTTATTGTGAAGAGCGAGATGACTGAGGATTTTGCGTGTGAGACGTGAGGCTTGGGAGCACGAGGGTAGTCCACCCGCCAGCCACTTGACTCGTCGCCATGGCAACGCCGCCAGCCATCTTGGACGGCCCTCTTGGAGTCCCCTGCAGGCCTAATAGCCCATCTCTGATTGGTTGAGAGGGGTAGACCGCTGTGTGCCTCCCTCTGATAGGTTCTTTTGAGGAGGACCCGGGTAGGAGCCGGCATCTCACCAAGACACCATCATTCTGAACCCAGCTGCCACCTTGTCCTGACGCTTGCATTGCTCAATTCGGCCAAATTGAGTAAAGACGACGTCGTGGCGGCTGACTACTCCACAAGCTCCACCTCCACCTCAACTACGACGTCCTCTGCCCAGAATCCAGTGCCCATCGTGTTTCGAGGGGGAGAAAGATAGGGAGTGTAGAGAGTAGAAAAATCGTAGGAGTAAGTAATGTTCATACGAGCAGAAACAGACTCGTAGGTCCCCACCCGTGATAAATATAGACGTTCTGAATCCTGCTAGTGCTCTATAGCAGTCGAGGGAACGGGGAAATTCGTGCCCGTGGTCAGGGCAGTTTTCCCATAGAAATTTCGAGTCATAGTGTTTGGCGCCAAATTTTTGTGGAGCGCCACGCTTGCCCAGGGATGGTGCCACCCGCAGCCTAGCCACCCGCCACCTGACCATCGGCCACCTAGCCGCTCCGCCACCTAGCTACTGTGACCAACCACCTACAAACAAGGGACCTGTGTAGGGTGGGACAGTTGGGGGTGTGGATGTAAGCCGTAAATAAGAGTAAGTACCTTGTGTGTGTTTGGTGATTTATATTCTCTAAGCCTGAATTCGAGATCAGGTGTTCCCCCAGCATTGTCACTAAGCACCTGTAGAGGTGAAGTGAAGTGCAGGCATGTGAGAATTTCACCTTTATTGACATTTGTTAGGCCAAAGGGACTTATAGTCTGGTGTAGGCAGACGTACATTGTGTGTGTGTGTGTGTGTGTGTGTGTGTGTGTGTGTGTGTGTGGGCACACACGGGAACAAAGTTTACATTGATTGGCCAAGGACTGTGAGGGATGTCCAAATAATATTTATATTCCACTCTGGTAGAATTTATGGTAATTCGTGAATGTTATCTTGTTCGATGTAGAATAATCTTTTGCAGGTGTGGAAGTCCGGTACCGGTTATCTAAGTGAACAGGTAAAGAGTGTGTAACATCGGGGATTCCTGGCATTTGATTATTGTGGAGTACTCCCAGAGTGTGGTTATTTCTTGTGTTATTTTCCCAGGGCCGTGACAAGTGTGATATTATATACATGTTGTGTGGCTGACGTGTTAACGTAAATTTGGTAGAATTGTGGTGAGTGACGAGGCTGTCTGGAAGTTTCAGCCGACCGCTCTGTCGAGTCTAAAGTGAATTCTCGGGGGTAATTATCGATCTGTGGGATCGCTAATCACTCACCCCAAGATGATTTAAGGAGTGTGTGACCTCCTTAGTGTTCTTATTAATATTTTGATAGCTTTAGGCTACAGGTATCAGCAGGTACATAATATATATAATCGTAGTGTCACGACGCCCAGTGTGTTATTTACTGTGGTTATTGCAACGTGTGGGCCCGTGTTCTAAGAGGTAATTAGAGCACTGTTGGTGATTGGAACAGGACAGTAAAGTATTGAGCTGTGTTCTAATATATTGGAAATTAGTGCCCTTGCCGTGTGTTATTGCAAAGGGGGTTGTAATTGTGGGTGATTGTTGCTAGTGTTGATCAATCACCATGTGGGTTATTGCAATCAGTGAATCATTGAGGGGGCCGTGCTCTAGTGGGTCAAAGCACTGAGCGTTATTTACTGGTGTTCTGCAGTATTGTCATTGCAATCGGATTGCATAGCAAATCACTGTAATTTGTTATTGTGATTTATAATTTTCGTGGGTGAAATTCTGGCATCGAGTCGAGTACTTGGTGTTAGTTATATATTCCTGTTTATCTGGTAGGACATCGATGTCCAGTATTCAGTGAGGTGATTGCAAGGCAATTAACGTAACGTAACCAAGGGAACACCCATTGCTTATAGAGAATTTGTTCTTTAACAATTTGAGTAACGTAAGATGCGTTTGGGTTAATAATTTTTCTAGGAACAGCTGTGTTAGTCTCTCAGGTAGCCTAGCAAGCTAGACAAGAATTGTAGAATTTCCGGGGAAGGCTGAATCTTACTATTTTACTTGTCTGTAGCAATTATCGGTCAGGGGCAGGTAATTAACGGGTTCCAGGAAGTCAAAGTAATTACCTTCGATTCGAGTTGATCGACTCACACGAAGGTTCCATTGTTCTATTAACGTAACGTCGGTTATTGATCTGTCAGAGGACAGGTAACTTGATTGACTCGTGGGAAGAGTAACGTCAGTGTAAAATAACATAAACGTGGTGATTAATTATCGTTATTAGCCATCTGAATTGGTCTGAGTATGGAAGGCACAGACGGAATTCATACCTTAATGTAAATTGCTGAGCCAATGTGAAAGGTTACGTATTTGTATTAATTAATTATAGATCTTCGGGGTAGTAATAAATTGCTCAAGGGTAATCACGAGTGTTTATCGTTCTCTTAGTACTTTGGACATTTTAATTGGAGTTAACTATCGTTGGGGATAGTAACTGATAACGTAACTCGTGCAGAGATTAATGAGCTGTTTGGAAGTATATAGGGATTAATGGAGATTATTCACAGAATGTTCAATGGGTAGAGTGTTTGTGTAATTTCTTAGTTACTAGTGACAGTTGTACAGTTTGATTTGTCTGTGAGAAAGCAAGATTAAGTTAACGTAAATGTTACATTGATATTAACGTAATCAATTTGTTATTGATTGTTGTTCGTCCGGAGGACGGAGTGTTAACGCAAAGATTTCAATGAGGAGGGTTGCTGGAGTAGCCAGTAACCCCATTAGTCATTGTCATGTCATTGGTAGGCTACTAATTTGATTGTATTGCAACCGCAATTGCAGATGTAGGCTGCAAGAAGCGTAGGAAACAGATAGGAGGTTATTGGAGGCGTGTCTCCTAGCCTACTGTGTCATTGTTGCAATAGTGATTATAGATTAGGATGTCTTGCTTGCTTGATTGATTCCTCTGTGTTCACACCGTATGTTTGAGTGTGAACTCAAACATACTCATTATGCAGTCTTCGGGGCTGGTGTCCAGCTGTCAGTTAAAGTGTCACAGGAAGGAATTCGAGTAACGTCATGAATAAAATTGTATTATGTTGAACATTTGAATAAATTGTATTGTTATGTTGAACATTTGAATAAATTGTACTGTTATGTTGAACATTGTCTTTTCGTTACATTCCACACATTTTTATTGTGATACTCTTGTTCTGCCACACTCTGTTATTAAATTGAGACTGACTCGTGAGTTTACGGCTTAATTCATAGCACTACACAACAAGAAATTTTGTTGTGAGAGCCCAGGAGCTACTCGTTATATTCACTCCGGCGAATGGCGAAGGTCAACGGCCTAAGTGGAGAGGATTTCCACTTTTTGAGGTCTCGGCGTTTGCTCGAGCCTTGTCAATTGTTCTTATATGGTCCCAGAGTGAGGAATGAGATGCTTACTATACTTGGTATGTTAGCTAAGCAAATCCTTCCTCAGGCGATCCATCCAGACTTTCATGTAAAGTCGACGGATGTATATAGGAATATCACGACAGGAATAAGGTTAAAGGAGTTAAGGATTTTTTTTTTTAGAAATTATCCAAAGTTCAAATACTATTTTAAAAATTCCATATCCAAACTCTCACACCTTTCTCTCTCTCCCTTTCTGTCTCCTTCCCGACTCTCTGTCTGTCTGTCTGTCCATCTCTGTACGTGTTTCTCTTTGTCCCTGTTTGAATCTCTCTCTCTCTCTGTCTGTCTGTCTGTCTGTCTCTCTCTCTCTCTCTCTCTCTCTCTCTCTCTCTCTCTCTCTCTCTCTCTCTCTCTCTCTCTCTCTCTCTCTTTCTCTTTCTCTCTCTTATTCACTGATGAATAAAATTGAATTATTCTCAATTCAATAAATATTATTATCCATTTTTTACCTTTCTGTACCACATTTAAATGTTTGTTATTTGATATTTGCATGTTAAGTAACAGCATAATAATTAAATATTAAGCATGAATGTTTTAAATGTTTGCTTTAGAATGTCATATCATATCATGAAAAAAATTCTTAAAACGTTATGGCCCCATTTTGAAAAACGCTTAAAAAAAAGTTCTCAAAATCACATTTTAAAGGGTAATTTAAAACGCGATGAAAACGTAAAAGTAAAAAAAGTTTAAAAAGTAAAAATATTTGGTGGGTAGTGGCAGGTTAAAGGAGACTTACTGTCACTGGTTAGCCAAGGCAGATTTCCTGGCACTAACCAGCTGAGGAAGATTTAAGTGCACTGTCCGGCCAAGGCAAGATTTATAGTCACTACCCGCCAAACACACACCGAAACTACGACGTTGGTACAACGTTCGAACAAGTTTTAACACCTCCTAACCAGTTATAACAACCAATATAGTAAGTTGTAACAACGTTCTAATACGTCATAAACACGTTAAGCCAAGATATAACAACTTTATTACAAGTTGTAAAAAGCGGAAAATAGAGACAGTTTCGGTTTGTGTTTCCAGGGTAGCCAGTGCAGACAGACTTACGAACACTGGCCACCCAAGGCAGAATTACTGCGACTGGCCGGCCAAGGCAGACTTACGAGCACTGACTGGCCGAGGCAGACTTACGAGCACTGGTTGGCCGAGGCAAACTAACAGGTAATAGTTGGCTGAGGCAGACTTACAGGTAATGGTTGGGCGAGATAGTTGAAGACAGACATCTTGACGGGGAGGATCTCTTCACGTTTGACAGTCGGGGGAAGGGTGAGGTCGACGAAGAAGGGGGTGAAAGCGGTGATGAACTCCCTCTGTGAAAGTCCCAGACCCTTCTGTGGGTGGGTACACACGGCCTTGCCCACCCACTGTGTTATGGTATCCGGCAGAGTCAGGTTCTGGCTGCTCACCCCTGAGGACCTGACAACAACGCACATCATGTGGGCAGGGACTGAGGACATCCATAGCATCTCACTTCACATAAATAGGGATATTATAAAGTACAAATTGAAATACTACATGAAATTAAGTGGAGAAAAGTTTGTTCTGAAGTCGAGTGAATATTAATATTAAGAAAAGCCAACTCACTGCTTCCCATACAAGGTGACTATTCACTGACTATTAAGCAAGACTAATTAACTTAGGAACATAAAATGTGTATCTTACGGGAGTAGGACGATATTCCAGAGCCAGGTCTCTGGGAAGTTGGTCCTTGGGGAATCTGCTGATTGTTCACTGTCCGTGTTAAAACTGGCCTCAGTGGCCGACGGAGTAGTGGTGGGTTGGGGCCGGCTGGTGGCCAGACTGGCGGTGGGTCCGCGGAAGCCCGTGGCCGGAGTTGTGGTGGGTCCAAAAAACAAAATGGGCGGAAAAGAAGGAAGAGGTTCCGGAGGAGTGAAATGGTGATGCACTGAAAGGAAAAGACACTGTTGTATTCATAGGTAAACATATGTTTAAAGTTTACAGTTAAACAATATTATGTTAGGAAAGACTTCTCAGATGATACTTTGCCTGTAAGGTAATTATTAGGGTTTTAATACAGGTGAAAAGTTGCTCTTACTTATGTTGACTCTCACTCCGGTGTTTTGCCTCAATGGTGCCAGCACATTGTGGCACCATTGTGGCACTCCAGTACCATTGAGGCACTCCAGCACCATTGAGGCACTCCAGCACCATTGTGGCACTCCAACACCATTGTGGCACTCCAGCACCATTGTGGCACTCCAGCACCATTGTGGCACTCCAGCACCATTGTGGCACTCCAGCACCATTGTGGCACTCCAGCACCATTGAGGCACTCCAGCACCATTGAGGCACTCCAGCACCATTGTGGCACTCCAGCACCATTGTGGCACTCCAGCACCATTGTGGCACTCCAGCACCATTGTGGCACTCCAGCACCATTGTGGCATCTCCAGCACCATTGAGGCACTCCAGCACCATTGAGGCACTCCAGCACCATTGTGGCACTCCAGCACCATTGTGGCACTCCAGCACCATTGAGGCACTCCAGCACCATTGTGGCATCTCCAGCACCATTGAGGCACTCCAGCACCATTGTGGCACTCCAGCACCATTGAGGCACTCCAGCACCATTGTGGCACTCCAGCACCATTGTGGCACTCCAGCACCATTGTGGCATCTCCAGCACCATTGAGGCACTCCAGCACCATTGTGGCATCTCCAGCACCATTGTGGCACTCCAGCACCATTGTGGCACTCCAGCACCATTGTGGCACTCCAGCACCATTGTGGCATCTCCAGCCTTACTGGCTGGAGATATGTAAGTGTACATGTAAATATAAGTGTATATCTAATGTAAGTGTTCATATAATGTAAATGTTCGTATAATATAAGTGTAAATATAATGTAAATGTATCTATAATGTTAGTGGATATTGCCATGATTCCGGGTAGCCTAGTTTAGGCTACCTCCTGTATAAAAGTTGGTCTCATTCGGCAGCCATCACATTGTTGTTTTCGTTCGTGCCGGTATATTTTAGTCATGTGAAATTAGGTTCGATAAGTGTAAATGTGTTTTGTAACGATGAAGAGTGGAGCCGGTCGGCCGAGCGGACAGCACGCTGGGCTTGTGATCCTGTGGTCCTGGGTTCGATATCAGGCGCCGGCGAGAAACAATGGGCAGAGTTTCTTTCACCCTATGTCCCTGTTACCTAGCAGTAAAATAGGTACCTGGGTGTTAGTCAGCTGTCACGGGCTGCTTCCTTGGGGTGGAGGCCTGGTCGAGGACCGGGCCGCGGGGACACTAAAAGTCCCGAAATCATCTCAAGATAACCTCAAGAAGGGTAATTATGTGGTGAGAAGGCCTCAGTGGGGCGAGGACACTTTCTCCTAAGACAGCGGCGACGCTAGAGTACTAGAAACTCAAAATACCAGATTGTCAGGGTTACTAAGACGTTGCTACATGTAGGAACCAATCAGCACGAAGCATGACAGCGACGTCTTGCAAGAAAAGTGCATAGATTGGCGGAGACAGGATTTTACGCCTGAAAGTCAAAGATGTTACACGTTTGCTAAGTGTCACTCCACCATGGCTGGACAGATTTCATCAACCTGTAGCTCATCAGTAGTGCCGAGCCAAGAAAAGATAAAGGCGGTATCTAGCAGTCAGCTTAGTAGCTGACCTTGTTGTAAAGACTTGAGGACTGGCAAGCTGTGTCGAACGTAAGATAGACCTGATGTGAGAGGTCTTTGCCAACAGGTAGGACGAACGTGTTTCAAGAGCTTAGTCCTGCCACAGTGAATGCCGGGCTAGTACATCAAGACGGTGGCAATGGTTCCCAGTGGAGTCGACGGATGCAGCCGTCTGCACACTGAAGAGGACTGAAGGCAGAGTAGAGTCAAGAAGGCATTGCAGAACTTATGAAACCTTAACAATTCTTCAGGTGCTGAGTGAGTGCATCACCAACTAGCCGGTATACCTAAGAGCTACACATGCTCTGACAATTTGGTTTATAGGTACCCTGAAGGCGAGGATGGGATAAGTAGCATCTTTAAGTGAACATTGACGGAAGGTAAGGGACTAGTGTAGCAGTCCCGGTCAACAAGAGACTGGCCCAATACTGAGAGTCAGTGTTATTTATGCAGCAGCTTAAGTCAGGTCAGAGGTTAAGGTCCTGGTTGGTAATGTGAGAACCGGCACTTCAGTGTAACAGTGGTGTTTATACAGCAGTGAGGCGGTTGTGGAAACCAGCCTGTATATTTAGTGTGGCAGAAACCTGGGGAAAGTGTTCAAAGTCATTTTGGTGCAAATCTCCAGAAGATTAAGGAGGAAGTTTTGTACCAAAATGGCCCCATTGACAACCCGTTGGAGAGACATGAATATACAGATACATTTACAATATATCTGCATATACATTGTCTGTAAATGTGTATAAATACACATACAATGTATGTATATACATATACATTGAAAAACTAAAGGACTCAAAAGCTCAAGGTGAGGAAGGAATCAAATCAAGAGTTATAAAGGAACTGACAGAAGAACTATGCTACCGCTGAAATTAAATTTTACAAAATCTCTGGACCAAGGGACAGTCTCCCTTTGAATGGAAATATGCAAATGTTACCCCTATTTTAAAATAAGGCAGAAAGAACTTACCGGCTGATCAGCTTGACATCAACAAGCTTATGGAGAGAATTCTCGGTGAGGGAATCTTTCCCCATCTTTCAGTGATTAATCTTTTACAATTGACACAACATGGGTTTGTTAAAAACAGATCCTGCCTTACAAACCTGCTCACATTTCCGGAAACGGTAACCAGCTGCTCAGACAAAGGCCTTCTGGTTGATGAAGCATACATGGATTTTGTTAGAGCCTTTGACAAGGTACCACATGAAAGCCTGGCAAATTAAGAACAGGATAATGGAATAAATGGGAAAATACTAGAATGAATAAAAAAATGGTTGAAACAACGAAAACAAAGGGTCGCACTAAATGGGAATGAATCTGAATGGAAAAATGTGGTAAGGGGGATTCCTCATGGGTCCATTTTGGGACCTTCCCTTTTTTTGTCATTTTCATTAATATCATAGATGGGAATATTACAAACCACATCATCAAATTTGCAGATGACTCAAAGATTTATGGTAAAGTGGGAAATTATAATGATATCGAAGCCTTACAATGAGATCTACATGAACTCAAATGACCAGAAGTTGCCAAATTCTTTTTAATATCGACAAATGTAAGACCCTGCATGTGGAGCACAACAACCCACGCCACAACTACCAAATCAATGTATTACATTACAGCAGATTGATGAGGAAAAGGACCTGGAAGTCAAAATCCACCACTCACTGAAAGTTGCACAACAGGTAGTCAGTCAGAAAAGCTAACCAAACCCTTGGAATAATCAAACGTACCTTTGACTTTAGGGGAAAGAAGGTAATGATTCAACTATATAAATCTCTGGTGTGCCCCCATTTGGATTACTGTATCCAAGCATGGAAGACCTCCTTTTCAGAAGGACATAGCTGCTCTGGAGATGGTGCAACACCGGGCAACAAAAGTCATTCCAGAGCTAAGTCATCTCTCGTATCAGGAACGCTTGAAGGTCACAGGGCTGACAACAGTGCAAATCAGGCATGACATGGTGGATCTCATAGAAAATTTTAAAATACTGAGCTAGTTAGAGGATGTTGATCTTGACAATTTCTTCAAAAGGTTAGTTGTAACACAAACAAAACCCAAAGATTTCCAGATCACCAAACCCCAATGTAGGACTGAGAACAGGAAATGCTTTTTCTCCCACATGGTTATGAGCCAATGGAATCGCCTACCTTCCTAAGCCCTAAATGCCAAAACAGTGTTAAGTTATAAAATTTACCTGGAAAAGATCTTGGAAAATGGGGGAACCTTCGATAACCCGCCGGTTTCCTGTCTTCGTCGAGGCCACTAGTGTTAGTGGCCCTCAGGTAAATCAGATGTCTTCTGATATGTGCGTATACATATTTCCCATGGCTACTCCGACCCCATGTTAATAGGGTAGCCATGCGGTCCCCCACCAGGAGTCCTCTTTGCTAACTTCTACATGGGAACTAACTCGTTCTGTGTTCGACAAACTATTGCATTAAACAATCCCTTCCACATCTGACAAATTCCTCCTGCCTCAGAAAAACTCCTTTCACGTCCATAAACTCCTCAGGAATCTGATAAACCATCCACCGCTGCTTAACTGCACCTTCCTTATTACCGGGTAGTATTGATTAAAATTTATGTTTTGTCTATGTTATTGTGATGTGTTGCTGAAGCCGTGCCACCCGTTCATGAATTTCTTATTTGTAATTCCCTGTGCATTTGTGTACATAAATGTAATGTTTCATATCTGTACTGGCCTGATGTGTGTTTGCCCAAGTTGCAACACTTAAAATTTGAAGTTTTTACAATTAAAATGTTTTTCTTCTAGTGCCTCAGTCATTTTGTCGTAGTGGTAAAGTAACTCTTGGTAATATTGGAGTGTAGAATAGAATAGTTCTCTATTCTGAAAGGTATGATCTTTCCGCAATAAATCCAATGTTGGTTGGGTTGTGGAGGTCATTGATTTCCATGAAACTAGTGACCGGACTCCTGATCACTCTCTAAAATACTTTTATTATGTGGGACGTTAGTACAACTGGTCAATAATTCTTTGCCAATGCTTTGCTCCCTCCTTGTGTTAAAAGGCTATGTCTGCTGATTTAAGCGCATCTGGTATTTCCCCCGTGTCCAAGCTCTTCCTCCACACTATACTGAATGCCTGTGCTACTAGCAATTTGCATTTCTTTATAAATATTGAATTCCATGAATCTGAAACCGGGGCTGAGAGCAAGGGAATGTTGTCCATTTCTCTTTCATAATCTGCCACACTCGTGTTGATATCAGTTATATTTACAGGGCTTTGGATATCACGCCTAAATCTTCCACTTTCATGCTGTTTATTGGAGTGCTAAACATGTCCTCATACTGTTTTTTCAAGATTTCACTCATTTATTTGTCATCCTCAGTGTATGAACCTTCACTCATACGAATAGGTCCAATACTGGCAGTGGTTTTTGTTTTTGATTTCGCATATTTGAAGAAATATTTTGTTTTACTTTATTTTTTGAATTGCATTCTGGTCTAGATGCCTTTCTTCAATCTGATATGAATACTTCAGTCTCTGCTCGATTTTGTCAATCTCCCAGTTCAAATTATTCCTTCTCTGTAGAGAAAGTCGTGTCTGCTTAAGCATTTCCGTTATTTTTGTTCTTCTTTTGTAGTGTCATCTGCGTTCTCTTTCTACGCTGGACCTCTTTCTGGCTTTCTTCAAAGGAATATGTTTTCGACATACTTTATATGCTTCAGAAGTCTGATTTTCTAGTCCTTGTGTAGGATTTTTATACTTTGAACAGTTTCCCCATTGAATGTTTGTAAGTTCCCTGTTTATTTTCTCCTAGTCTGTCCTTTATTATTAAAATTGAATTTACTATAACCCCCTCTCGCTTGATCATTGTTTTAGCTATATTCTGAATATTGATGGCAGTTTGCACTTCAATGAACTTGTGGTCTGAGTATGTGGTATCTGAGATCGTAATATCCCTGATTGTCTTCATTGTTTATGAAGACCAGATCTAGAATATTTTCGTTCCTAGTTGGCTCTGATATCTGCTGGTTGAGTGAAAATTTGTCACAGAATCTAAGTAATTCTCTAATCTGTGGTTGGTTATGTCCTGATAAATTTCCTGGTATAATATTATTTTTTGCTATTCTCTATCTTAGACTAGGCAGGTTGAAGTCACCTAAGTAGATAATATCAGGTACTCGGTTTGCCAAATTATCAAGGTTATTCTCTATTTTGCTTATCTGTTCTGTGAATTCCCCAGCCGTTGCATCTGGCAGTTTGTATATAAGAATAATAACTAAGTTTATTATATATATTTTTACTTCCAGGACCTCTACCACCTCATTTCTAGAGATAAGGAGCTCCGGGCATACAAGCTCATCGCTAATATACAGTCCCACTCCACCATGTGACCTAATTTACCATATCACACCTGTATAAATTATATCTTGGTATCCAGATATTCCCCAGTAAGGGTTTCTGTTAAAGCTCCAAATACTAAATTTGACTCAGTGAGGAGACCATTTATGAATGGTACTTTATATTTTGTTCTTGTTTGTATGTTGGCAAAGATGAATAATGTTACTCTATTTGGGATAGTTTTGGTGCGAGACTTTTCTAGCAGGTCCATTATGTGTGGACACATCGAGTTTGTTTTGACCAGTGCTGAATGTTGTATGGGTTACTGCCTGTCGTCGTTGTAGCTCTGTTGTGGTGAGTAGTTGTATCTGTGATTATGATATGCAAATGGGTCTTTCATCCAGTTCCATACATTCTTTCTGTTCCTCCTTTTGAAATCTTTTTCATCTTAGTATAAAATATTAATTGAGTTTCCTCCAAATCCATTATCTTGCTTGCCACTCTTTTTGTAGCGTTCTGTGCCTTTCACGTGAAAGTATGTGCAGCTGAGGTCATAGTGTTTTCTGTCCTCGAGTGAGGTTTTGCATACGTCAGGATGGAAAAACCTACAAGTCGATCCAAATCGACACTTTCTTTTCCTAAGCATATTTAACACAATTTCTGGGATGATGGGAGCTGCATTCTAATCCCTTTCTATTTCCAGAATATCTATGTCAGTAAATACCCTTTACATAGAATTTGCATATGTCTGTCCTTTTGTTCTGACTTTCTCTCTATCGCGGACTGTTGTAGTGTCTATACCAATTGAGCTGTCAGTGCTCTCTGTTATAGTTTCTAGTCTACTATCATCAGTATTCGGGCATACTAAATCGGAATTTACAACTTCCTGAATTTCTGTTTCAGTTTCCTCCCTGTCTATAGCCTCGGATCCTGGTCTAATATTATTTATTTCCCACCCATCCTGGATGTCTGGTAGGCTTTCAGTGAATGAAATTTTTCGGTCAAGAGTCATGATATCTTGATTTTTTTTTTTAGTATATTCCAAGTTGGCAAGTCTTGCTGCATACCCTGAGTAAGTGACCAGCTTTCAGGCCTGTGGTGTTGCTCACTCCTGTACAAGCCGAGTGAAATCTATTCTTATATATTTAACATTCAATTCCCGTTGTCTTTGTCTTCAAGGTATTATTGCAGTGACCACAAATTATTTTGTTTACTGCTATTTTGCTATCTTTGTTGTTGTTTATCTGTGCGCTTGTAATGGAACTACCCCACAGTTGCCAGTGTTCTATATTTTGCATGAATCCCAAGCTCTTGGAGTTATCAAGAGCTCCTATTCCTGAGAGTTCAGGCTCTGCAACCTGAGTTGACAATTAAGCTTGTACTCAACTTGCTTCATTTCCCGGTCCATGTGCATTATCTGTAGGCTTTTCCTTCACCTTTTTCTTTAGCAAAGAACGAAATTGGTTATGGAATGCTATGCAGATGGATGTTTTGGTACTGGGAGACGGTGGTGGGGGTCTTGGGTGCAGACAATGGGTGATGAAAATGGATAACGGGAGAATGTTTCAGTATACTGGTAATAAATCTATAAACTTACACATACCAGGTTAAACTACTACTGGCAGACCCAGAACACTGATTATTTTATATCAACAGTTGCCACTAGGATTCCCTTTACAGGAACCACTGTGAAATCAGTTGATTTATCCTAGAAAATAGTTGAGGTCTATGTCAGTATAATGGAGTCTCCTCCATATAGTGACATAAACCTATATATAACAAACAAATTATAGCACTGAGACATCAGTGCTCAGTTTCTACGTGAGTAACATATAGGGATCAAGCTGACTTAAGACAGAATCAGTTCCAATAGCATTTTCTAGGTTACATACCCTCCAGGTATGTAAACTAAAATGTTTCAAAGATTTTAATAAAAACGCTACGAGAAATTCCTAGCGGAATTCCTATAATAATAATAATATTATTATAGTACAATGAAATCACATTAACGTGATGTATCAATGAGAAAATCTGTCGGAGCAATTTTCCATAACTTTTGTAGTATATCGTAGATTAGTGGCTTAGGGCGTGTGCTTGGCAGTTCGTAGTATGCAGGTTCGAACCCTCATCATGGTTCTTACTAATTATCTCTATAATAATAATAATAATAATAAAAATAAATAATAACACCAACAATAATTATTATATATAAAATTATGTCGATGTTTTTGAAAAATTGTGCCCCCATTACAGTTAGAAACAAAAACAACAGGTCTTAACACTTGAGGGTCAGATACATGAAAAATTAGTAAAACATCTTGGGAATAATTTGAATAGATTCTTATAACTATAGAGGATTGGTAAATTTAGGAAAAGTTGTTCCTCGTTTAACTGAGAATTCTAAATCATTCAAGGTGTCAAATTTACACATTAAATATTCCCTACTGATATTAACTGTTGCCTCGATTTTTAGTGTTTAGCTTTGCCTTCTAAAAAATATGTTTAGTGAATAGTTCAGTGACACGTTTACGACGATCTGTTAGCTAATAGAACACTATGTTACACAGTACTAGTAATTAAACATTGGAACAAGTGAACTCAAAAACATTTAAAAGAAATCAATATTACCTTCCCTGCAAGGTCTAGTTTCCACAGTCTGGTCAGTCAGGACGTGCAGGCCGGTGGTCTGAAAAATAAATAACGACAAATATATTTTAAATAAATATAACTAACAAAAGTAATATATAAATTACAAATTTAAGTTTCATGTGAAAAAAACAAACAGGAAAACGTTTCCACCAAGAACAAGGTGGTCGCCAAGAACGAGGTGGTCGCCAAGAACGAGGTGGTCACCAAGAACGAGGTGGTCGCCAAGAACGAGGTGGTCGCCAAGAACGAGGTGGTCGCCAAGAACGAGGTGGTCACCAAGAACGAGGTGGTCGCCAAGAACGAGGTGGTCGCCAAGAACGAGGTGGTCACCAAGAACGAGGTGGTCACCAAGAACGAGGTGGTCGCCAAGAACGAGGTGGTCGCCAAGAAAGAGGTGGTCACCAAGAACAAGGTGGTCGCCAAGAAAGAGGTGGTCACCAAGAACAAGATGGTCGCCAAGAACGAGGTGGTTGCCAAGAATGAGGTGGTCGCCAAGAAAGAGGTGGTCGCCAAGAACGAGGTGGTCGCCAAGAAAGAGGTGGTCACCAAGAACAAGATGGTCGCCAAGAACGAGGTGGTCGCCAAGAATGAGGTGGTCGCCAAGAAAGAGGTGGTCACCAAGAACGAGGTGGTCGCCAAGAACGAGGTGGTCGCCAAGAACGAGGTGGTCGCCAAGAACGAGGTGGTCGCCAAGAACGAGGTGGTCGCCAAGAACGAGGTGGTCGCCAAGAACAAGGTGGTCGCCAAGAACAAGGTGGTCGCCAAGAACTTGGTGTCGCCAAGAACAAGGTGGTCGCCAAGAACTTGGTGTCGCCAAGAACAAGGTGATCGCCAAGAACAAGGTGGTTGCCAAGAACAAGGTGATCGCCAAGAACAAGGTGGTCGCCAAGAACTTGGTGGTCGCCAAGAACAAGGTGATCGCCAAGAACAAGGTGGTTGCCAAGAACAAGGTGATCGCCAAGAACAAGGTGGTCGCCAAGAACTTGGTGGTCGCCAAGAACAAGGTGATCGCCAAGAACAAGGTGATTGCCAAGAACAAGGTGATCGCCAAGAACAAGGTGGTTGCCAAGAACAAGGTGGTCACTAAGAACAAAGTGATCACCAAGAGCAGGTGGTCACCAAGAACAAGGCGGTCGCCATAAACAAGAAAGTCGCCAATAACAAGGTAGTCGCCTAGAACAAGATGGTCACTAGTAGTGTAAAGTGTGACTATGACCGAGCGCAGCACCTGAGCAGGTGAGCCGATTACGCCCCCCTGCTCAGGTGGTGCACAGGTATGTAGTCACACAGGGTTCTGGGGATTCCCCGAGGTGTGCGGACTTGCTGTCCGGCTGCGCGACACTTGACACTCGGTAGAATCATGTTGGAGTGGGGCAGCGGTATGTGGGTCATGTAGGGTAAGTATAGGAATAGGTGTGTTGAACAGGTGAGCAATAGTATTAGATGAATATGTATGAGTATGTGCCGTAGAGTTAATCGTGTGTAGATATATATATGTAAATGTCGTACCTAGTAGCCAGAACGCACTTCTCAGCCTACTATGCAAGGCCCGATTTGCCTAATTAGCCAAGTTTTCATGAATTAATGTTTTTTCGACTGCCTAACCTACCAAACCTAACCTAACCTAACTTTTTCGGCTAATTAACCTAACCTAAACTAACTTTTTCGGCTAACTAACTTAACCTAACCTATAAAGATAGGTTCGGTTAGGTTAGGTAGGGATGGTTAGGTTCGGTCATATATCTACATTAATTTTAACTCCAATAAAAAAAATTGACCTTATACATAATGAAATGGGTAGCTTTATCATTTCATAAGAAAAAAATTAGAGAAAATATATTAATTAAGTAAAACTTGGCTTATTAGGCAAATCGGGCCTTGCATAGTAGGCTGAGAAGTGCGTTCTGGCTACTAGGTATGACATAAATATATATATGTCGTACCTAGTAGCCAGAACGCACTTCTATGCCTACTATGCAAGGCCCGATTTGCCTAATAAGCCAAGTTTTCATGAATTAATTGTTTTTCGACTACCTAACCTACCTAACCTAACCTAACCTAACTTTTTCGGCTACCTAACCTAACCTAACCTATAAAGATAGGTTAGGTTAGGTTAAGTAGGGTTGGTTAGGTTCGGTCATATATCTACGTTAATTTTAACTCCAATAAAAAGAAATTGACCTCATACATAATGAAATGGGTAGCTTTATCATTTCATGAGAAAATATATTAATTCAGGAAAACTTGGCTTACTAGGCAAATCGGGCCTTGCATAGTAGGCCGAGAAGTGCATTCTGGCTACTAGGTACGACATATATATATATATATATATATATTATATATATATATATATATATATATATATATATATATATATATATATATATATATATATTTATATATATGTCGTACCTAGTAGCCAGAACGCACTTCTCAGCCTACTATGCATGGCCCGATTTGCCTAATAAGCCAAGTTTTCCTGAAGTAATATATTTTCTCTAATTTTTTTCTTATGAAATGATAAAGCTACCCATTTCATTCTATATGAGGTCAATTTTTTTTTATTGGAGTTAAAATTAACGTAGATATATGACCGAAACTAACCAACCCTACCTAACCTAACCTAACCTATCTTTATAGGTTAGGTTAAGTTAGGTAGCCGAAAAAGTTAGGTTAGGTAAGGTTAGGTAGGTTAGGTAGTCGAAAAACAAATAATTCATGAAAACTTGGCTTATTAGGCAAATCGGGCCTTGCATAGTAGGCTGAGAAGTGAGTTCTGGCTACTAGGTACGACATATATATATATATATATATATATATATATATATATATATATATATATATATATATATATATATATATATATATATATATATTTATGTCGTACCTAGTAGCCAGAACACACTTATCAGCCTACTATGCAGGGCCCGATTTGCCTAATAAGCCAAGTTTTCATGAATTAATTGTTTTTCGACTACCTAACCTACCTAACCTAACCTAACTTTTTTTACTACCTAACCTAACCTAACTTATAGAGAGAGGTTAGGTTAGGTTAGGTAGGGTTGGTTAGGTTCGGTCATATATCTACGTTAATTTTAACTCCAATAAAAAAAAATTGACGTCATACATAATGAAATGGGCAGCTTTATCATTTCATAAGAAAAAAATTAGAGAAAATATATTAATTCAGGAAAACTTGGCTTATTAGGCAAATCGGGCCTTGCATAGTAGGCCGAGAAGTGCGTTCTGGCTACTAGGTACGACATTATATATATATATATATATATATATATATATATATATATATATATATATATATATATATATATATATATATATATATATATATATATAACTGAAAACTCACACCCCAGAAGTGACTCGAACCCATACTGTCAGGAGGAATGCAACTGGTATGTACAGGACACCTTAATCCGCTTGACCATCACGACCGGACAAAAGGAAGTGATAGCCGAAGCTATTTGAACCACTTCCCCGCCGGCACTCGGATGGTAATCTTGGGCATAGCATTTTATCAAATCACCTCATTCTTTGTGGCACACGTGAGGAACACAAATGCGAACAAGCCTGAATGGTCCCCAGGACTATATGCAACTGAAAACTCACACGTCAGAAGTGACTCAAACCCATACTGCCAGGAGCAACGCAACTGGTATGTACAGGACACCTTAATCCGCTTGACCATAACAACCAGACAAAAGGAAGTGATAACCGAAGCTATTTCAACCACTTTCCCGCTGGCACTTGGATGGTAATCTTGGGCATAGCATTTTATCAAATCACCTCATTCTTTGTGGCACACGTGAGGAACACAAATGCTAACAAGCCTGAATGGTCCCCTGGACTATATGCAAATGAAAACTCACACCCCAGAAGTGACTTGAACCCATACTGTCAGGAGCAACGCAGCTGGTATGTACAGGACACCTTAATCCGCTTGACCATCACGACCGGACAAAAGGAAGTGATAGCTGAAGCTATTTGAATCACTTCTCGCCGGCACTCGGATGGTAATCTTGGGCATGGCATTTTATCAAATCACCTCATTCTTTGGGGCACATGTGAGGAACACAAATGCGAACAAGCCTGAATGGTTCCCAGGACTATATGCAACTGAAAACTCACACCTCAGAAGAGACTCGAATCCATACTGCCAGGAGCAATGCAACTGGTATGTACAGGACACCTTAATCTGCTTGACCATAACAACTAGATAAAAGGAAGTGATAGCCGAAGCTATTTGAACCACTTCCCCACTGGCACTCGGATGGTAATCTTGGGCATGGCATTTTATCAAATCACCTCATTCTTTGTGGCACACGTGAGGAACACAAATGTGAACAAGCCTGAATGGTCCCCAGGACTATATGCAACTGAAAACTCACACCCCAGAAGTGACTCGAACCCATACTGCCAGGAGCAATGCAACTGGTATGTACAGGACACCTTAATCCGCTTGACCATCACGACCGGACAAAAGGAAGTGATAGTCGAAGCTTTTTGAACCACTTCCCCGCTGGCACTCGGATGGTAATCTTGGGCATAGCATTTTATCAAATTACCTCATTCTTTGGAGCACACATGAGGAACACAAATGTGAACAAGCCTGAATGGTCCCCAGGACTATATGCAACTGAAAACTCACACCCCAGAAGTGACTCGAACCCATACTGGCAGGAGCAATGCAACTGGTATGTACAGGAGACCTTAATCCGCTTGACCATCACGAAAGGACAAAAGAAAGTGATAGCCGAAGCTATTTTTGAGTCACTTTTGGGGTGTGAGTTTTCAGTTGCATATAGTCCTGGGGACCATTCAGGCTTGTTCGCATTTGTGTTCCTCACGTATGCCCCAAAGAATGAGGTGATTTGATAAAATGCTATGCCCAAGATTACCATTCGAGTGCCGGTGGGGAAGTGGTTCAAATAGCTTCACCTATCACTTCCTTTTGTCCGGTCATGATGGTCAAGCGGATTAAGGTGTCCTGTACATACCAGTTGCGTTGCTCCTGGCAGT